GCATTGAACTGGAACTGTAACAGCCATAGCCAAGTGTGCCATTTTCATTTTTCATCTGTGCATGTTGACTTCTGTAGCTTGATTCAGAAGGATTCATAGCAAGCCAAGCATAGAGGAAGCATCCCTGGACCTCAAGCAAGCTATACAAGTCCTCACATTGCATTGAAAATACCTCCATTGTCATACACGAATCAAGTTGAACAGGTAAAACTTTGAACTTCTATCTCTCTATCCATGCATAGTTAGGCTTAAGTTTGTGAAGAAAGCATGTTCTAATCATAGCCCTGAAGCCATCCATATAGTTACTTTTCATTTATATTGTGTGTGCTAAGAGTATTTTGAACCTGGACATTGGAAAAAAACTAGGTCAAGAATTGGGGGAGAAGAAATTCTCTCTCATTTCTGAGAGTTAGATTAACTTTTTTATATATTTGAAATCGTGGCTTCAAGCTCTACAAGTTTCATGTTTTAAGATTTGTCAAAAGATCAAGGAATCAGAAGTTAGCAGGTTGAGCAAGGGCGCGCGTTTTTCTGTGTTCAAACAATGGCTGGAGGTTGAAGAAGCCTCCTTGGGCTGGGCCTGACTTTTTTTTGTTTGCACCTTCATTTCACACATACACCCCCTTGGCCCATTGTGTGATTTTTTAATCATTTTTGACTTTTTATTTTTTATTCTGACTTGTTATTTTTTGACAAAACATAAAAAATATTAAAAATATTTTTCCATACATTTTTGCATTTATTTTGGATTTATTTGCTTTGTTTACATTTGTACATATAAATAAATATAATGCTTTTATTTAAAACCTCAGAAATAATGTGAAAATATATACCTTTAGTTATTATTTTTATTTGCATTTTCTGAAAACATTTTTTCTAAAAAATATACCTTTTTTTGTAAATAATAAATATTTTATTTTTGTATATATTTAATATATTTAATACATAATATAAATACTTATATATTTATTAGAATATTTAGGATAAAAATACAAAATAATACATTTTTTATTTTTATTAATATTTAACCTCAAAATTACTTTTTTTGCAATATACTTCCTTTTTATTTATTTTTTGTACATAATTAATAAATATTGTATATAATAAATAATTAATACTATTTATTTGCAAAATTAGGGTTTTTGCTCTAAACATGAAAATGTCCAAAATTAACTTTTTTATTATTTTTATTTCACTTGTAAATAAATCACATACACTTACACAAATTCATTTACACATACACATTTACTTATTCTTGTACATTACTTTACATTTACATTTGCGATTAATTCGATTTGGTTGTAAATATTGGGATACCACTCTCCTATTAAAGTCTCATCCCCATTTGAACATTTGTACCCCCATCCCCATGATTATCTTTGTAATAATTTAGGACTTTAATTTCCGCATTTTAAAGCTTTCTAAATATGCCATGATAGACTTAGGGTTTGTATGCAAACAAAAAATAGCTTGACCTAATTCAAAGATAACAAAGCATGAAAATGGACAACACCAATCACATTTGCACCCCCTAGGGTTACTCCACTTGTTGCCTTCAATAATGGGCCATATTGCATGTTGGGTGTCTTTGGCAAAACAAAACAAATTCAAAATGATCATAGTCCCTCGATGACGCTTTCGAAAGTTGCCTAAACAAATGATCAAGTCCCTTAAAGGAAAAATTGTCAAAGACACTTGGCACTATTGCAATCATGGTCTAAACGATGACCCGCGCCCGTCCCGTTAACATCCTAACACAAGATTGTCCACCAAATACAATGGTGGAACAAAATTGTTAAAAGGGTTAAAACATAGGAATGATCTTTGAGAAATTTAGGGTAGATAGCTCTTGGTTACTTGCCAACTTGCAAAACAAAAACACTTGCCTATTTTTCAAAACCACACATCACAACACACTTTAAAAACAACCTTCAAAAACATTGAAAACTTTTCAAAAGATAAGTACACCTTTATATACATTCAAACATGGATCATTACAAAGGTTGCCACCATATTGACCTCTTTTCAAAATATTTTCAAACCCACACACAAAGCACCATTTCAAACAATTGAAAGCACCATTTCAAACAATTGAAAACACAAGGCAAGTGATCTAAGCAAGTAACTAAGAGCCCATGGATAACCATGGATAGAAGGGGTGCTAATACCTTTCCTTTCTATAATCTACCCCCCGAACCCAAGAAAACATCTCAAAGGTTTTTGTTGTGCTTTTTAACCTTTCTTTAGATAAAATAAAAAGTCGGTGTGGCGACTCTTGCTCAACCGAAACATTTGCGAAAACAAACGCAAAACCTCAAGTCAGTTCTCCCACCGTATCACAGCGACCTCCCTCTGAATTTTATTTTGTGTTTCAAAATCTATGCATCATTACAAGAAACTAATGGCATATTTGCAATCACTAGACAATTTCCAAGCTTTCCATGTTATTTGATTATATTTATCTGCTCTATGGTGCAAAACGCCATTGTAGGGTTTCCTAGGTTTTTTTAGGGGTTTTTGTTATATGTGAAATTAGGCCTATTAATGGACATAGGCATGACCAAAGGAGAAAGGCAAGTACAACCATGGCCTTGGATGGAGTTTATATGGCCTGAGATGGGTTTTTGAAACGACCTTCGCTTTTAGCTGCGGATCTAAATCCGCAGGTAATTTCTGTGCAAACCTGAGGACAGGGACGACAACGTGTCCCCATCTGGTTGCTCCGTTCAAATATTCGCGCATTTTCGTTTTAATTCTGGCATATTATCAAGTTATCCCATATTATTATTATTATTCAATATAATAACAACTAACGCATAGTGGTGCAGTGGTAGTGGCGTTTGTTCAAAATCCAACAGGACCTGGGTTCGAATCCCAGGTCCTCCATGTATTTGCTATATTTTTTCTACAGGTTATCCAATGTCATTCCAAGCGCGTGATGCATCATACTCCCTCACTCCATCACTTGTCAGATGGCCCCAGACCAGATCTGGTGGTCCATATGGGATGTCCACCATACTCCCTAGTCAAAGTGTCACACTGGATTTCAAAAGGTCAACAAAGGACCAATTCATTTGGGCCATCAAATTGCTATCAAGACCTCCAAAAATCAGGCCCAAACCTCTAATTCTCTCTATTTTTTATTATTTCTTTTAATTAATTATTGTTATTATTTTTATATTAACTAACCAATTAAGTCTTTTTCTTCATTAAAATTAAAAACCAAAAAATATTTTTCTTTATTAAAATTAAATTTCAGCATTTTTATTTTTGTTAATAATATTAATTTAATTAACTTAGTTTTAATTTGGAACAATTTTAATATTTTTGCAATAATTAAAATTAATTTAGACAATTAGGTTTTATTAACTTTGATTAAATTTATTTTTATTTCTCTAAATATGAAAAACCCAAAAATATTTTTATTAATTAATTTATTTATTAATTTAATGTTTAATTTAGTTTAATTTCTTTCTAAATTCAAAATAACAAAAAAAATCTTTTCTTTAATCAAAGGGTCAAAACCCTAAAAACTTGAGCCCGATTTAATTTTCCGCATGCGATTCATTTTTTCTCAATATTGTATCTGTTTCCGGAATGTAATAGATAATTAGGACTATTTTTATCGCTTTATTTATTTTCCGTATTTTAATTTCAAGGGTTGCTTTTGGCGATGTAAATACCCGACGCCTTGTAATAGTTAGTTTAATTTCCGCAATTTAATTTCCGCAACTTATAAACTGTTAGATATTTGATAATAGGGAATGCATGACAAGATCGAATGTTTAACCTAAAATCAACATAGATAACCACTAACATGTACAAAGATAAAATAAACTGAAAACAACACACTCGCACATGCGCACTCTTAGGGTACACCTCACTTGGTTGCCTTCGTAACGTGGTCATTGAGTATAGGAAGTGTTAGAGGTCGCCCTCTTGTCCAAAGATCATAGTTGCCTCGAAACGGTTGCCTTGGAAAAATGATCTAAGACATTAGGGTTACCGCTAAAGCGTCCTAACATTGCTTTAGTGACCGCACGTCCCTTAATCAAATTGACCCTTAAACTCCAACGACGAGGCTACCTACTCATTCATAGTGGGATAACCCTGTCTAAAGGACATTAGCACATATTGATTCCTTTTTCGAGTAGGTAGATGGTTCTTAAGTACTTGGTCTTTCAAAACAAAACAAAACTTTTTTCACACTTACACCTTTCAAACAACAACTTCTTCAAACCCACAAACACAAAGAAAAACAATTTTGAAAACAGTTTGAGCAAGTACCTAAGAGCCCGTGGATAACCACAGATAGAAAGAGTGCTAACACCTTTCCTTTCTATAATCTACCCCCGGACCCGAGAAACATCAAAAAGGAATTTTTTTTGCTTTTTTCCTTTCCTTGTTGGATAAAATAAAAGACGGTGGCGACTCTTGCTTACCGCGACATTTTGCGAAAACAAACGCAAAACGCGAACCAGCATTCCAAAAAACAATCAGTTCTCTCCCACCGTATCACACCATCGTTGATAGTTTTCACTTTTGAAAACTGGTAGATTCGCTGGAAACTGTGTGAATGTTGTTGATTGGTTTGCCATTAGATTCTCTCTGAATCACAAACAAGTTTTTGATACCAATTTGTTGGAACAAAGGTTTCAAGAAAGATGATATTGTGAAAACGAGAGAGAGAGAGAGAGAGAGAGAGAGAGAGAGAGAGAGAGAGAGAGAGAGAGAGAGAGAGAGAGAGAGAGAGAGAGAGAGAGAGAGAGAGAGAGAGAGAGAGAGAGAGAGAGAGAGAGAGAGAGAGAGAGAGAGAGAGAGAGAGAGAGAGAGTTAAGTGTAACTAACTATCTAACTAAATGTATTATTGTTGCTTCATTTCTCCTTTTGATTACAAATATAATGACTTCTTATATAGGCAAAGTGCTTAGGTCCAAATACATACTAAAAGCTCAAATAACTACATAACAAAAATTAACCAACTAACATAGCGGAAAGAAATGTTGCTTGATACTACTTGCACGCTATGTGATGAGTCTCCTAAGTCTGCAAGACATCTTTTTCTGCAGTGTGAGTATTATGGTGGGGCTTATTTTTCTTCCCCTCTTGGATTTAGGATTCCTCCCAATGTTGATATCTTGAATTGGTTGCTGATCTGCTTGGACGGGACCGACACCATGCAAGTTCAACTCATTTGCACTTTACTTTGGAAGCTATGGAGCTCTAGGAATTTTTGGCATTTTCAACAGAAGTTTAAGGAGCCTCAATTGGTGGCGCAAGCTTAGGACTGTGTAGTGGAGTTTAATAACCAGGTGCCTACGGTTAATAGAATGGTCCTTTGGCTCATGAGAATTGCTTGGTGGGTGTTGATAACGAAATAGTTGAGTTTCAGTCTGATGCTGGTTGTTTGGGTGACGACACTGTGGCTTTTAGTTGCTTGTTAAAAACTTGGGATTCAAAGGTAATTTATGCTGCCTGTAGGAAAGAGGTTTTGAGAGTTGACTCTGCTATTGCTGAAATGCTGGCAATTAGGTGGAGTCAGGAATTGGCAAAGGATTTCCACTATGAAAAAATTCTGGTGCAATCCAATGTTTCAATTGTGGTCGACTGTGTTATGTTTTTAAGTAGACATTTTAATGTTGCTTCCCATAACATCGTTGGTTTGGAAAGTTGTTAGGAGCTAAATCTTGGCTGGTTGAACCACCTTCTTGTTCTACTATAATGCCTTTTTGGGCTTTTTGCTTTAATATTATAAGTTTTCCATAAACAATGATAAAAAAAAAGCATACCCTATAGACACAATAAAATAATTTCTACCTTACCCAATAAAATCACTTCCTTCACAAACCAAAATAAACTACAACTCGCAAGTTGTATGGTACAAATTTTCATGTGGCAAAGGAAACTTCGAACGACCTCATCACAAACAAGTAACTATCCGATAAGAGGTGAAATCATCTACACGACATAACGATATTGTTAGTCAGTCGAACGGAGAAACATCCATTATTTTAGTACTTAAATCTATTAAAACAAAAACAAAAAATGCTAAACAAAATGTTTTCATTAAAAAATCAAACTCATATACGAGAGACAAACGCATTCGAATTTCATTGATTGGTATACATGCAACAAATTCGACACATGAGAGGTGTGCCTAGTCTAAAGCATCAACAAACAACAAAAAGGACACGTAACCTAAGATCTAGGCTTTCTTAGGAGATTTCCTGGCCTTCGATGGAGACTTGGGAGTACTAGCAGCAGCATTTTCAGCCCTCTTAGGCAGAAGAACAGGGTTAATATTGGGAAGAACACCACCGTGAGCAATAGTAACACCGGCAAGCAATTTTCCAAGTTCTTGATCATTCCTAATAGCCAACAACAAATGCCTTGGACTAACTCTATTCTTCTTGTTGTCACGTGCTGCATTTCCAGCCAACTCAAGAACCTTCACATCAAACAAATCTCAAAATTAGGGTACAGATTCAATTGACAAAATTCCAACTCTAGCGTGGCAGTGAAAATATGAAAGTGAAGAGGGAAAGTGAATATAATAAACCTCAGCGGCAAGATACTCGAGAACGGCAGCTAGGTAAACAGGAGCACCAGTACCAACACGCTGAGCATATCTACCTTTCTTCAAGAAACGGCCGATTCTTCCAACGGGAAATTGAAGTCCGGCTTTGACAGATCTGGTGACGGACTTCTTCCTTGGTCCTCCTCCTTTCCTTCCTCCGGCTCCTTTCTTCACCTTTGTGCTTGCGTCCATTTTCAAATGAGAAAACTAGATTCTACCTCTTGATTTGGTTGGTTGCAAGAAAATGCTGAGAAAGGAAATGGAGATTTTGAGATGAAAATGGAATAGGTGTTGTCAAGGTTTTTATAGTTCAACGGTGATTATAAGGATCTTGCTTTAAAAATAAATCCACCGTTAGATTAGAAATTATAATTCATATCTATGGCTCATGACGTGGCAATCCGTGTCTCTTTAAAAGGACCAATGAGAATCAATTAGGCGGTCTCTACTTTTTTATTATTAAATTTGGTCTTTTGCAAAAAAAAATTAACAAATCACGATGGATTCTTGCGTTTGTAATCCAATTTCTTTTGGATGCTATAGTCGCATCGCATCGCATGTCAAAATAGTAAATTACAATTTATTTTGGTTTTTTTTTTTAAACAAATTGACTGGGTAGATTTTTTGTCGGTAGGATTTAAGTGTTACTTAGGATTGTATTAGCAATAGGAATGTGGTGAAAATGATATTCTTTAAATTTTGATATTCTTGAGTTTTGTTGAGTACATGTGTATTCAACCAATTAAATAGTATAATTTAATGATAAATTATTTTTGATTTTATTCTATTTTAAAATAAATTAAAATTTTAAAATAATTTATACTAAAAATATTGGTACTCAACATAAATTTATAGATACTAAAGAATTTATCTTTTTAAAAAGGTGGAAGAAAATAATTATTCAACGAGATTTTTTTTACTTTAATTGACAACCATAATCTCATATTAACGTGTAACTTATTTGTGTATCTGCATGGATTGGTCGTTCATTATTTATTATTAAATGATTAAGTTAAAATTAATTATTTATTGGTCTAATTAAAAAAATTATGTATACATTAAAATAGAATAGGATATTATACCTTTAAATACAAAATAAATAGATATACCTCTCTTGTATTTTGTTAAAGCTACTTATACGTCTATATTACACTTGTTTTTGCAACATGATAATATTACTTGCAATATTGGTTGGATCCTCCGCTTATTTCCAAGAGTTGGATACCTAGTGTCATTACTTTCTTCTAGCATAAACTTAGAGATAATATTCTTACAAGAGTTAACATTTTTGGACTTCAGGTGATTGCAAACTCATATGGATTGTCTTGTATGATGTGTTAGGATTTTATGGAATCATGTGTTCATCTTTTTCTTACTTGCGAAGTTTCTTATTGTTCATTTGTTTTTGGACTGTGGTTTCTGCTTTTTATAATTTTATCGTTCTTTTTTCTGTTTTAGAATTGTTAAACACTTTTGGTGTTGTTCTCAATATCGTGTGTGTATATATATAGTGTTATTTATGTGAGTATCTTTAACTAGGATGTTCTCGTCCAAGAGTTGTATCGCTTAGACAATGATCTAGAGACTCACCCTTAACACTGATGACATGTGAGGAGTCGTTAGACAAAAGGGAGGAAGTTTGTAACACTCCAATTCTATCCAACAATTATATAAGATCAGAGTTACAAAAATTTGACAATCGAATCAGGATGTTAGAAATTCAACTTTAAAATAACGGCATTCAGTGCAGATACATAACACATTAAACTTGGATGAACCAACAACAACATAAATTAATCTTCTGAAATCAACAACTTTCATAACCACACAGCGGGATCAAATATTCAACGTAAGGAATATAACATCTTTATCCAACAAAAACAACTTCAAACAATTAAAAGTGCAACAACTGAGCAGTAACAATAAAATAGCAAACGTTCATTCCCCCGAGTGTTACGTATCAGAACAATGACACCGACTCGAACTACTGAAGGTAAACTGCCTTCACTCTGGATTACCTGCACGTTACCAACATATGGGTAACATTCAAACAAAAGGGGTGAGATATCGAACAATATAATAGAACGTATGATAAATAAAACATTAGAATCAGTTCATACATATTCACCACTTCTCAGATCTTAACAACATAAGCATAATCAAATCAACCACACAACGACTCATAATACAACACAGAATACAACTTGTCTTTATGCAAATGCATGTGGTGTCAATGGAGCAGAACTCCCAACTTAAAAATCAGCCAATAAATAGAGGCATCAACAAGGCATAAGCCTTCAACTTAGTATTTTACCAATCCATACCAACTTAACGAGCATCAGCTCCAATTTGATATACGATGTATGCGACACAACATGAACGTAGCAACAACAACAACAACCAACAACTTAACATAAATCAACGTTGGCCATAAGCCTACAACATCAACGACAATTCAACATCAAGATAATTCAACTTTGGCCATAAGCCTACAACATGATATATGTAAAAAATATAGGCATCTCAACATAATTCATCAACCTGCAAATTCTCAATTAAGCATAAACTACACAGCACACTGTAACGACCAGACCAACACGCACAGGAAAGAGGAATAGGGAAAACTATGTGCCCCTCGACATGTACAGAAACCAAGACAATAATAACTAACTCATACTCCTCGACACGTGCAGAATAATAACTAACTTATGTTCTTCAACATAACCTGCAACTTTGTGCCGCTCGACAACAGTATTGTGCTCCTCGGTACGCCTCACAACCTAATGCTGCTCAACATTCAACACATATATTCTCCGACACACCTCGCAGCCTAAATGTCGCTCGGTACCTAGCACTTCAGTATCCTCCCGACCACTAATTTGGCCAATAGCATAGAACAACACAATATCATAATGACCACATCAATATGATTCATAATTTCTGACCAACTGCTCTGAATACCACTGTAACAGACAACTATATTTCCTATCAACAAATTCGTTAATTATACAAAATAGTCACGCACAAACCCTCCTAATACGACCATAACAACAATTCCTAATTTCCTGCCAACTGCTCGGAACACCACAACATCATAACGACCACAATACTCATTGATAAACTACCTTAATATAATCATCGATTCTACCGGGCAATGATACAGACAACTCAAACCGCCCACAACATAACAATTTGCCAACTTCCTATAACAGGTTCATTAAACAGTCGTACGGCAACTCCCTAAACAACCACAGCATGAGGAAACAAGCAACTTCAATAACAGATTCAGAACCATCAACGCACTACAGTCATACAAATGACCAATTCTCACATAATACACATCATAAATCCCATTATACGGTCAGAACCCCACCCTTACCTGGATTGAAGGCCGCTCTACCAAAATTCCACCCGACAGCCTTATTTTTCTCCGCTCGACATCGGGCAACTTGCTCCTCTCTCCGTGCAGCTCTTCCGGTCAATGCACAAACCCTTAATCACTAATTAAATCAAATTCTTGTGTCAGTTTAACTTTATATCAATAATCCTATTAGGCTTAACCTACACACCCCCACTTTACTACTCCCAACCAATAACATAATCCCAACACAATTATTCTATTAATTCCAACATTATAATTATTATTATTAATCACTAATTAATTAATTAATAATAACTAACAACTTATACCAACAATTTCCAATATTTCACAACTTTTCAACAAATAATCCAAAAGTAATTTAATTAAATAATTAATTAAATTAACGGACGTTACAACTCTCTCCCACTTAGAATATTTTCGTCCTCGAAAATTTACCTTATTCAAACAACTCAAGATAGGAGTCTCGCATCTTGCTTTCTAACTCCTAAGTCATGCTTTCTCCAGAAGCTCCTAGTTAGACTACTTTCACCAAAACAATCTATTTGCTCCTTAGAGTCTTCATCTCACGATCCGCGATTCGAACAGGCATCGTCTCCATAGTAAGATTATCCCGTACTTGCACATCATCCATATGAATCACATGAGATGGATCTGAAATATACTTTTGGAGTTGTGACACATGGAACACATCATGCAAATTCGAGAGATTAGGCGGTAA